TCACTTACACCTTATTAAAAAAAAACTCTGAACAGCAATAATAAATTACCCTTCCAACACAAAATGACTCTGCACTCGCAAACCTCTCACTGACTTTGTGTGACTTTCCGACAATCAAATGCGTTCTTCAAAAGACCAAATTTCTTTAATTTGAGTGAAAAAAGCTCAAAACCATTACCCTGGCCGTCAAATCTGTATACTACCAAGCTGAAGAAAAAAAAATCCTTTTTTACAAATACTATTTCAATTCAAAACAAAGACGCATATACAGGAAAAGTTACAACATAGAAGCAAAACAAAAAGAAAACTAGTACAGACATAATTGCACACATAGGAGTATTTTCAAATAAGGAAAAAGGCAATAGACAGAAAACAGAAATGAAAGAAAACAGCAATCTACGAAAACATAAAATATTAGTTACACACACAAGAGACATTTTATAAAAAATGTAGGTGATTTTAGGCAACCATCGAAACAATTTTGAATTATGTAGGAGGCGGGCTTCCGACATTGTTTGTCAGGGCCAACCCGGGCTGAGAGAGGATCCTAGTAGAAAAAATTTTTTCTCCCCTCTCTGGAATTGAACTCAGGTCTCGTGTGTATGACAGCGCAGTGCCTAACCGCTACGTACAGACATCGGTGACACACAGAGACAACATAAAGTGTTGTCACAGAGTCACTGGTTACCATAGAGATCAGAGAAAGAAATAATGGAGGAAAGAATAAGAGAAGTCGCTGCATGCCGACTGCAAGGTGCAATACAGAAAGAACACACTCTTGATCCCTCAAACAATGCAAAACAGACCCCAAAACGCAGAAACTAAACAATACAACTAGAATAAAAAATACGCATAATTAAATGTTTATACACACACTCATAAGCGTATCCTGCAACACAAACATTACACATATTGTTCTTTTTTAAAGAAAAATGAGCAGTCATATTTTCACAGCTGTATAGAAGGGTTGACCATATATTTATAGCAGATTTAAAACCCTTATTTTAGGAGTCATTGAGATGTTTCTATTTTCCAGCATTGAAATAATTCTATTCAAGCTGTCTTTGGCATCGCAATTCTTCATTTTATTTCCATGGAACATTTGGCATCAGATATAATGACACATCAAAGAAATTTAAACTGTTGGAACTTGTTTGATCTTTTCACCTTTGCTTTTATGTACATCACCCGTATTATGCACAAGATACCGTCAGGATTAGGTCTAGCAAAAGGATAGTACTGACTCACTGATTAAAAAAAAAAAATCAGGATATAACAACACGTCATAGCATCTTTCTTGGTCTACCCGCCACTCCTGTCCCACAGAGTGAATCAATCTCTAACCAGCAACCGATAGTTTCTAAAGGTAAGACATAGTATTTGATGTCTGAGTAGTACTTGAAGTGGTGGAGCCTTGAAAAATGGCCAAAACGCGGCCATCAACTTTTCTCTGCCAGAATTGGTCTCATCGGACACAGAAGACACCACAAGTCATCACAACCTTTAATTCTTCAAATTCTTCTTCTGTTTCGCTGGAGAAATATTCTCCTCTGCGGACGTATTGGTTATCGTCAGACATTGGTGGACGAGGTATTTATCTATTTAGTATTTGATTTCACGCATGTTCAGCCCCCCCTCAAGCAGGTCAGAAAATCTCCTCTTATTATATCAACGACCTACCAAAAAACAATGGGCCAATTTTGGAGTTTAAAATACACTATATACCCTCTGTATCATATGCCAGGTCATGTTATAGGTGAGTATTTATGGTACCTATTTCTTTCACAACAGAGAAGATATACGAACTTACGTAAGGCTTGTAAGTAATCCCAAACAAACTTTTCATTAGTTCTAGCTGCATCATTTCACTAGGAACCAACATAGGACAAATACATTGGTACACTCCAGATTTCCGGACATTTTTCCAGAGATAATGAGGGTATTGCACAAAAGTAACCAGTTTGGCAGTCTCACAAAAGGAATGGGAAGCATCTCAAAACAAAAAAAAAGAGCTCTTACTATACAAATGGTGTCAGTCACAAACAGAACAAACATCTCCAACAGTATCTTAAACCTGATTTTTTTTTTTTTTCTACAATGTTGTAAAGCAAAGTCTGGTATACTTGAGGCATGCAAGCAAAATGAGTTACTTCGCAGATTTTGGACGTATGGACATAGATACGTCAAATTCATGAGTAGAGTTTATACAATTTATGTGTTTGAAATAATAAAATACATGTTCAACGTTAAACAAAAAGGAGCATCAATTAAAAATCTACGAAATTGTCCCAAGAATAGAAATGCATGAAGCACTGACATGAACTTTGAGTAGAGATGGTCTTTGACAGTTAAATTAAACAGGTTTAGCCTCCAATGTAATGCTGGTTTCCTGGAAGATGGCCCATCTGTGCCTGACACCATCCATATGCTCTCATATTACATGTAAAGAAGAGCAAAAATTAACAATAATAATATGACTAAAGCAAATTACAAACTCCCCCCCTTTCCCCACCCCACAAAAAAAAAAGAAAAAAAAGAGAAAAGCCATTTTGACAGAATGGGAAGCATATTAGCTTCAAGCTCACAGCTGGCTTTGGCTTTACAAACCAATCACTTTTGTAACACGCGCACATTATAAAATTAACGTAAAATTTCTGGCAGCAAAAAGAGATGCAGATTCATCACTGAGAATTCTGCAAATAAGAAAAATAGATATTGTGATAAAACTATGTTATTCTAAGTGACTTATGTACAGTATGTGCAAGTTAGAAAACCTTTGCTTCATGCAAGTAAAAAAAAAATTTTTTTAATGTACAAACGCTATACAACCAATGATTACAAAATAATAATTTGTCCCAGGCATAGCATCTCGATACCCTAGAATTACAACGTTTTTTTTGCTCAGTAGGCCTACTTAGTTTTGAGAAATTTGAATTAAAATTTTTTTGTTTCACAACACATAAAACTTTTTCAAATGCAATTCTTCGAATATTTTGATAACATCTGTGAACAATCTGAACAATCTTACGATTTTGAAAAAGCAGATAGAACATTTGGTTTCTGAGTCATGGCCTTAGTAACCCAAAACAGACAAAAATGTCAGATAGAACTTTGTAATTCTGTGGCATGCAACTTTCCAAGGACTAACAAAAAGGTTACCCAATCACTTCCAAATCATCGACCATAAATTTACATTTATTTCTAAATATCTTAGCCGCAGCTGTGCCACTGTTTCACTCTTGGTTCAAAGGTGAATTTTCCTGTATCAGAACTCTGTCCAACAAGCACACTAGCATTTAGAAACTAAGAGACGGCAGGGGATGTGAAAGACCTATTACAAACAACACACAGAATCCCGCTACACTCCAAAGTAAAACTAAAGCAGCTGTTGTCTCGAACTCATCCAGTCTCCTGGCAAAAAGGACAACCCTTGAGGACCTCTCGACAAAACATTTTCCACAGCGCACACACAGAGTTCTTTTTACCTAAATGCTCAATCACTTTTACATAAAAAAGGCAAGTCAATCATTAAAAAAAATTATTTTGCTTCATGCCATCCTTCCATTTTTCACTGGAAAGTTGATACCACTCAAATACTGGTGAAAAAAATCTAATACCACATCAAAACCCCACAGATAATGATCAACTGAATAAAAAGTCAATTCAATTTTTTTTTTTTTTTTTTTTTTTTTTTTTTTTTTGTAAAGTGTTTTACGGCGCTCGCAACTGCATAGGTCATATGAGCGCGCGGGACACACCTAATATTTTCAGTTGGTAGGAAATTTTGAATTTTGCCCGGGTGGCGGCCGAAGCCTACTCTTATCGATTTTAGACCACCAAGGGATCTTTAACGTGCGCAACTTGCACACGGGCCCTCCGAGATTTTTCGCCCTTGTCCGAGAAGGCTAGGTGTAGATCTTTCCTACCAGAAGATCAGGGGTGTGGCAGAAAGTCAGCAGTAAGGAGGAGCCAAGGAGTAGCAGTAGAAAGGAGGCAGAAAGAGTCAGGAGCCCAGAGGAGGGGGCAAAGGAGGTGAGGGGGTGGGGGCAGAAAGTGGAATTGAAAGCAGACAACAGAAAATTGCTAGAGAGCAGGAAAGGAGGTGAAAGGAGACAATTTTAGAGAAGAAAATTTTTCGGTCGCTACCCGGATTCGAACCCGGGACCTTTGAATGAGAGGCCAACACCTTAACCTCTAGGCCACGAGAGCCCCCTTCAATTTTTAAAAACCCCAAAGAAACAAAGAAACAAAAAAAAAAAAAAAAACTTTCAGAACAGACTACGAGTGCATCTCCATTTGGCAAGCAAGTAGCACCCACTGGGGTGAGAATGATCACATTCCAACTTTACTGAGACCAAATACTCCAAAGTTCGATAGATGAAAACAGTGTTGATGGTCTTCCAACATTAATTTTCTAAAACCTGATTTTTGACCACGAGATAATAATAACGATAAAAAATAGCATTCGTATAGCACAAAATTCCCGCTAAACAGCAAGCTCTATGCTCTTTACAATCTATACTATTACTTATACTATGTAAAACATCATCTATATAAATGACGACAAATTTAAAGAACAGAGATATGCATGAGATGTTGACATGAAAATTGAGTTGAAAAGGTTTTTAATAGTAAGACAATTTTTAACCCCCCAAACCCGTAATAAAGGCTTCATGAGAGATCGCCCATCTATGCCCGGCGCCAACAATACGGATCATCCCAGATGCCTGGGAATAAAGCACCGTAGACTGAGCAAAATGATGTTGAAAGACCCTACACAGATCATGTGACAAAGACAATACGACAGGCAGAGAAAGCCCATGGGCTAGAAGACACCACATTCATGCCAGCTGTCTGAGCTTAACAGCCGAATCAGCCAATCAAATCCTCCCTTCAGGCCTCCAGATAGAGAAAGCCTTACTCAACAGAATAAAAAAAACCCAAACAGTTACCCCCCCCAAAAGATATAGTTATTTTAACATACTAGCAAAAAATTTATATTTTTTCCACCATCGCAAAAACCCATTATTTCCACAATTGCCAAGAACACAATTCCTTCCTTCCAAAAGCATTACGCTTCTTCACAAAAAGCAAGTCATACAGGAGACACAATAAGGTCTAGATACATAAAAGAAAACCTTTTATCCATACAGTTCCAACAAGTTTCCTTCTGTCAGTATTGGCAAATTACATCTCCTGAGTCGAAATGTCGAGGAATAAACAGCATGAGGCAAAACATTCACTCAAAACTGCTGAAATAACAGCAGATTCCTTCTAAAGCTGGTAGGAAATAATCAAAAGTTAAAGAATGAAATGACGTTAATTTCCAAAGACACTCCAAATGTTTATGACAATAATGCCATGGCGATAAAGCAATTACAAAACAAAATCTGCAGAAAGAATCACAAAAAACAAATTCAAAAAATTAATTAGAATTGTTAACATTTTCACAATTCAAGTATACTTTAGCACACATCCTTTTTTAGCAGCAACATTAGAGTAAAATATAGCACTCTATCTACAACATTTTCAAAACTTCCACCAAATTCTTTCACCGCCCAAACACACGCGCTCTCGTCTTCCGTCAGTGAACAGAGCTCGACTCCATCTCCAGAGCAACCTCAGACACATCCTCCGTGTCCGGGGAGGAGGAGGCAAAGGTCACCTGGTTGACCGGTGGCCAACTGATGGCGTTAATCTCCGCCTGCACTTCCTTGTACTTTGTGGGCGGGACCTTCCTCAGCCGCCCCAGTCCTTGGTACAGACATTTCAGGAGCCGCGTATCAATGGCGATCCACTGAGGGCAACGAGATAAGGTCAAAAAAGTAGATAGGTTTTAGTTTTTGTAAGAGTTTTACGGCACTTACTACACAATAAGGTCACATAAGTGCCAAAGTTTTAGTTTAAGTTAGTAAGAGTTTAACGACACTTACAACAACAATAAGGTTACATAAGAGACAAAGTTTTAGTATTAGTTAGTAAGAGTTTTACAGCACTTGCAACACAATAAGGTCATATAAGTACCAAAGATAAGAGGTACTACAAGAAAGTAACAAACACAAAAAAGAAGGAGGAGAGAAAAGGACGATAGAGGTTTGATAGGAAAAAAAGGAGCAAAGTTTGAGTAAAGAAAAGCACTTTCACACAATGATGGTCATTTAGTGCTGAGAAAAAAGAAGACGCAGAGATAGAAATAACAGAGGGGAAAGAAAAGAAGTAGGACTCAACAGTATTTCCAGCATTTCTCCTGTGAATGGAGATATAGCCAAAAGCAAGAATCGAGACCCACTAAAACATGACAATGACTATCTATAATTGAGACTTAACTATGTGGTAGGGCATACAACCCCTGGGAAAAAAACAACCCATAAACTTACATTATAATATCCCAACCCATGCACTCCTACATAATTCCTCTTCACTACGGAGCACATCATTTGATTAAATCGGAGCCAAATAAAGGGCAAGATGTGGAAGATGCAGCACAAAGTCAACTGCAGTGAGACTGGTATTTTGCCTTTCATTGGGGCGTAATGGCATGGCTCATGGTGCACAGGCTTTACACCTAACTTTAAATACAGAGACAAAAGAGCGACGGCCATGACAGTGTGTGGTCTAATAAAGTAAAAGTCTATGCTACAGCATTCCTCACCTCGACAATATTGGAGACGATGAAGAAACCCAGGACCAAAGCCAGGATGATGATCCGGAACTCAAAGGGTGTGTCTTGCAGAGGCATCATCTGAGGAAGGGGGCCGGTGCAGGGGTCATGTTTCATGTTTCAGAAAGTGTTTTTACAGTTGCAACAAAATTAGGTCCTATAAGTGCTGAAGATTAGAGGTGTTACAAGAGAGTAACAAACACAAAATAAGAGGAGAGGAAAAGGCGATAGATATTTGATAGGAAAGAAGGCCCAAATTACACCAGAGCACCCACCAACCACCCATAGTGGAGGGGTCAGTGTCTGTCTCAAGTCCAATATTACATCACCAGGGACACTACCACAGCATCATCAATCAACAAATAAGTAACATTCTCTTTACTCAAACAAACAAATTAAGCGCAGGTTGGATATAGATCTATTAAATTTTGAAAGCAAGCAAGGCGGCCGGCCCAGATGGAATTTACCCCGTAAGTTCTCAGGGCGGATATCGACACGGCAGTTTAGTAAATATGGAAAAAATGATAAGGTTGAAATAAAGAAAAATCTTTAAGTATACAACATGATAGAAGATAGAAGTTAGGGAAAACAGGGTGATGCTATACAATCCTGTGCATATTATGACAAATCAAGACTTATGTCCTGTTGATTAATTTTCAACATTCAAAGGTGATGAGCAAATACATCAAGTAACATAATATTCGGAGTAATAATAATAATGAAAATGATGATAACAGCTAAATGACAATGGTAAAAATAGAAACAGTGATTAGAAAAAAACACCAACAATAATAATAATACAAACAATGGCAATCATCATCATCATAAAAATACCAAAACAATACAGACAAACGTGATAATATGATGATGGTCGTCCTGCAATGTCATGTGACACGTAGTGGCCTTCTGATTGGTTGTTAGCTACAATTTACTTCCAATGTACACAAATACAACTTAGATCTAGATAATTAAACATGTTTAATTTTGGGGGGGTTTGATTAATTTGCGTAGCGTCGAAATGGCAGCTTTTGTCTCTCCAAAAAGAAAAAGATCTGCCCCCCCCCCCCTCGCCCCAAAGGTCCCAAACGACGTCAAACAGCGATTTGATATAATCTTGTGCAGTGTGCGCTAGGTACAAGCAACTCACCACAAAGAAAGTGTTGAGGGGATCCAGGGGGCTCAGGAGCAGGAACGTGGAGAAGCTGAACAAGAGGACCAGGCATGCCAGGAACAGATCTGAGGAGAAAGGTGAAAACATAAGTGTACAACTTTTTAATGACCTCAGGAAACATTTTTAAAATTGCAAAACATTAACTGTATTGTTATCATAATAAAATTTGTTACGACAGAGGAATTGGGTACTTGCCAAGTTTTTGGAATATGGAATTATTAGTATAATCCTAAAGCTCGTTCATTAGTCTTACTTTTGGTGTAATACCTTTCTATCTTGAATAAAAGTTGAGATTTTGCAATCCAAGGAGGTGGGAGTCACCTGGTATCAGAGGTAAAATTAGCAAGAAAACGGCCAAAGTTTATTGACAAGATAACAGCGCTCAAAGCTTATACTTGTGTGGGATAGAGTGGAGTGTCCCAAGATCTCGAATGCTTTTCCCAGTAGTTTAAGAGAGATCCAACCCTTTAATATATTCAAATGTCAGCTAAGGTCATTTCTGTTTTTAAAACAATGAGATAAATATTTAGAGAGATTTCCTTTTGGTCAGAACATAACGTACGGATTATATGTTACTGTTGCATTGTAAGGCGCTCAGAACCTGTGTACTTTAATCGAGGTCGAGTGCTATATAAACAGCACATGTGGTCGCTTTTAAGGACAAGCGGGCTAACCCAGATTTTGGGGGTTTCCAGAAATCTAGATCTACACCAAAAGTGGGCATTGCCCTACCTATAGGAGAAGTTTGGTTTCATTGGTGCGTATATTTGTTTTGTTATAGAAAAAAGTCTTTTCGTCTCTTAAAGAAACTGAACAAGGAGCAAAAACTTTACCTACGATTTTTCAAAACAGCATTTTTCGGGATAGCCCCCTTGTGCTTAAAAGCGACCATATATTATAACTATATAAATGCAATCTATTCTTAATATTATCGATATCACAAGCGACCATTGACACACTCACAGTTGGTGTAGATGGGTTTACGGAACGGTGGGCCTCGGGAGAAGGTGAAGGCCACCGAGATGTACATAAACGAGGACAGAAGAAACATCACAGTGCTCTCCCATGTCATCGTCTCCTCGGCATTTTTTGCCACTTTCGTCCTCAGTTCCCTCGTGTGATTCGACTCTGGAGCATTGTAGAACCTACAGCCGACGAGAGAGAAACACAAGTGGAATATTGAAGTTTAAAAATAAAAAAAGAAAGAAAGAATATTTAATAGCTTTTTTGAAAAAAAAAAGAATATAGAATAGTTAAAAATAAAAATATGGACAAAAATATTAAATAGTTTGGAAAAAAAAAGAAAGGAAAATAGAATATTGAAGGGTTAGAAAAGTTGTCCGGTCTATAAAGTGTCGAAAACATCTGTTTGTCATTGGTGTCAAATAAAATGAAAGCACATCAAGGACTTTTTAATATTGGCTAGCAGTCACCGAGACAAAGGCAAACCTCAGCCTGTGTAACTAGATGAGTAAATCATAAGAAAGCTGAAATTTTATTGGGTAATTTTCACAATGCTGAAAAGAAAATTAAAAAGTCAACAAGCTGTTGCACATGCCCATTAGACCAAAACCAATATTTTGAAGTCTCAAAAAGAAAAGGCATAAAAAAAACTCCCCAAAATACAGCCACAACCAGTCTGAAATGAATTATGATATTATGTGATATATATTTATTTGTGTATAGATCGATCATTCCCCCCCACCCCACCTCTGAAAAACATCTATTAAAAAAATCAACCTACCTATTGCAAATGCTTTTATTAACTCTTGTTTATTTTATCGATTTATTAATTTTTTTTAAGGGGAGGAAGGGGGGGGGGGGGGGGGTGTTAGGGAGGGGAGCCTTCACGGGAGCATGTTTTGATGTTTTGCTAAGTCAAGATCCTTTTACCACTTATCGGTTCCCCTTCTCCAATTCTTTGTGCTTGGAAAAAGTTTTACAGCGCTCACAACACCACAAAGCCCCCCTTCTTTACAATACTCACGGTCCGAAATCATTTTCACAACTGCATAAGCCCCCCCCCCCCCCCCCCCCCCAAATTCTTTACAATACTCGCAGTCCCAAATTATATCCACAACTGCTTAATGACCCCCCCATTCTTTACAATACTCACAGTCCCAAATTATTTTCACAACAGCACAAGATCCCTCCATTCTTTACAATATTATTATTCACAGCAATCCCAAATTACTATCCTATTTCCCCAACTTACGGCTGCTGCTGCATGTAGAAGAAGCCGGCCAGCTGGAAGCCGGCCACGAGCGTCACCTGGAAGATGATGGAGCACAGGTTGGAGGCCTTCACAAGACTGCCGGGAGGCTTCTGCTTCACCAGGCGGTGGTAGGCTGCCGTGTTGCCCACTGGGAGGTGAGGGGGGGGGAGAGAGAGAGAAAGGATGGACGTTTGTTCATTTGTTTATTCGAGTAAGTTTTAGTTTTAGTAGAGGTTTTACGGCACTCGCAACTGCATAAGGTCACATGAGCGCCAGAAGATTAGAGGTGTTACAAGAGAGTAACAAACATAAAAAAGAAGGAGGAGAGATAAGGACAATAGATGTTTGATAGGAAAGAAAAAGCAAACCACACCAGAGCACCTGCCAACCACCCAATAACTGCAGAAGATTAGAGGTGTTACTAGAGAGTAACATACACACAAAAAGAGGAGAGATAAGGACGATAGATGTTTGATAGGAAAGAAGGAGCAACCCACAGCAGAGCACCCGCCAACTACTCACGTTTATTTGTTTGTTTGAGTAAAAAGATGTACATTGACAGAAAAAAAAGTCAACGAGTGCTAGTTTAGTTTGGTAAAAAGTTTTACGTCGCCCACAACTGCAAAAGGTCGAATAAGCACGCAAGACACAAGTTGGTTGTATTCACGCTAGTTCATAGCATGGCTTGGTTTTACTTTGAGAGTCAAAATGGTTGACATGTCTAAAATATGCATCAGGGAATTTCAGTGCTGGGAAAAGGTAAGACAGACATACTGGCAGAAAAAAAGAGGGAAAGAAAAAAAGAAGGGCCTACCAGTGGCACCTTCCAACCTCTTAAGGATATCCCCACATCATCACACATATTGAGTGTGAGTATATTTTCTCACATTGTGAGTGGAATCAAAATCAATAGTATAGATTGTGAAGAGCGTAGAGCTGAGCGGGGATTTGCGCTATACAAATGCTATCTATTATTATTTCATTAATTTATGGATTATAATACTGTCTTACACATTTTGTACCATGACTATTTTTATGCTTCACGATATTTATAATCTGCTTGAAGTCATGAAAACCCTGACATTATCTAGAGAATTGGCACCTCTTGAACCAGCATGCACCACCATTTTGAAAAGTGACGTATGACGGAGTCTTACATGGGCAGTCGAATAATATGAGAGGCATCTTGGTGAAATCAGGTGCTCGTCACAACAACGAAATTGAAGAAACAGGCACTTTTCCACCAGTTTGGCAATATCTCGACTTCTAGTCAAGACATACGGGTATTGTCTTCATCGAAAGCAACACAAAAAACAAACTTTAAGATGAAACCAATAACTCCAAATGCCCAAAAATTGACGAGTGCTCGATTCAACCGCGTCATGACACATATCTCTTAATTCCCAACTATAAACTCAGCAGTTGATAATGTCTCCATTCCCAACAATACACACAGCAGTTGAAAATGTCTCCATTCCCAACCATACACTCAGCAGTTGATAATGTCTCCATTCCCAACAATACACACAGCAGTTGATAAGGTCTCCATTCCCAACAATACACTCAGCAGTTGATAATGTCTCCATTCCCAACAATACACTCAGCAGTTGATAATG